CTTTTTTGCAGCTCTAGCCTTGTTACTGGCTGTGTTTTTATGTTACACTCCCTTATTGACTGAACCAAGGAAAGCCCTTGCTTTTCAGCAATATTTACACAGCACACCCTGATGTTATACCAGTAGTTACTAGGGCAGTAAGTGATAAGGTGAAAATATATAGGTTTGGGTTGTTCTTCAGAGTAACAAAATACCACATCAATTGCTTTATCCCAGGAGGATGGCTTGAGGGCACTGACCTTCATACAGATTCAAGGGACAAGTTGCCAAGAGTTTTTAGGCTTCAGTGGATGTTGTGAAGGTTCACAGGTGTCCCAGAACCTGTTTCTAGCTTGGGAAAGGGACCAACTGAAAGGCCAAGTAACAGTGAACTCCAATAAACTAATTTCACCTATCTCTCAAACTCTGGTACCACAACAGCCATCCTTTCCTTTCCCCTTTCCAGTTGAGAAGGATTAGATCCCTACTGCATAAATGGAGTTGCTGTCTGAGAGGTTTCCAGGTTATTTTTGACACCAATAAGGCAATGCTGCTAGCCCAAAAGCTTTGCCTATCTGAGTAACATATTCCAAGCAGGCCTCGGTTCCTGCCGGAGCGCACTGGAGCACCGCTCCACCAGTCAGGAGCCCAAAGTGTGGGCTGCTCCCACCAGCCATCAGTTGGGACACAGTGGGAGGGGTTGAAACGTTCCCCTGCCTCCCTGAGCCCTGGGGTGGTGGCCTTGGACTTGCAGGGGCAAATTCCACCTCTCACGTGAGAGGTCATTCTGGTTCCCCCAGCTCTCCTTCGGGGCTCCTTAAAAAGTTATGGCCGCCGCCGCTGTTCTCAGAGGTAGCTGTGACGCCCATGGGGGTGGGGCAAAACGTTCCCATGCCTTCCTGAGCCCCGTGGCCTTGGACTTGTAGGGGCAAATTCTACCTCTCTCGTGTGATGCCGCTTGGACATCATACGCTAGAGGTCATTCTGGCTCCCCCAACTCTTGGAAGGGGCTCTTTAAAAAGTTATGGCTGGCGCGCTGTTCTCGGCGGCAGCTGTGACACCCGCGCCGGGGCGTTCCCTTGCATCCCTGAGCCCCGGGATGGTGGCCTTGGACTTGTAGGGGCAAATTCCACCTCTTGCGTGTGATGTCATTCTAGCGTGTGAGGTCATTCTAGCTCCCCCAGCTCTTGGGAGGGGCTCTTTAAAAATTTATGGCTGCCGTTGCTGCACTCGGCGGCAGCTGCGATGCCCGTGCGGGGGGGAGGGGAGGGGCAAAACCTTGCCTCCCTGAGCCCCGGGGTGGTGGCCTTGGACTCGTAGGGGCAAATTCAACCTCCCCCGTGACTTCCCCCCCCCCCACCACCATAGAGAACAATGGAGGGGATAAGGGCAAACTATTTGGGGGGCTGTAGAATTGGACCCCCTGGTCCAATGTTCTTCAATCATGGTTGGTATCTTGGGGAGAGGCTCCAGAAGCTACCCTGCGAGTTTGGAGCCTCTCCCTCAAACTCCCTCCCCTCCAGCTCCCAGAATATACCCTATGTTTTCGCCACTGACTTCAATGGCCCATAGGATATAATGGGGCCGAAATTGACATTCGGATGGCCCTTTTTCAGGCCGGCGTTCTAGCGTGGAGCCTGAAAAAGGAGGGGCAGCTCTGCAGGCCGTTTTTCAGGCCCGGCGCTCCGGTGCAGAGCCTGAAACAGGCTGATAGGGCAGCTCAGCGGTTTAAAACCGCCTCTCCATCCCTCCAGCAGCCGGCTTGCTTGGGCTCCCGAAGCAAACCAAGGGAAGGGAAGGTGGCGGAGCAGCTGGAGTCATTGAACCTCAGCTCCACAAGTTATGAGCAC